CACTGGACCAGAGAAAATAGAGTCAATTTATTATGATTCTGGAAGAATGGGAATGGATTAGGAGATTTCTGTAGGGTCCCCAGGAATCCGAGGACAGAGCAGACATTAGATCTCATTGATTCCAAGGGCAAAGGTCCCTGAAGAAAATCTTCAGGATCTACTGAAGCCAACATCTATGAAATGGGATGCCAAAGTCTGAAGAAAGTTCACACAGCTTTCAAGCAGAGCACCTTCCTCCTAGTTCAGGGAAATCCAGGTGGATCCAGTTCCTTGAAGGCATGCACATAGTAAAATAATACAATGTGTTTTCAAGTGATAGCCTATGTTTCTCTCAGAAGTCTAAAGATTTGTATTGTCTCAAGGAGCTTTGTGAAAACTTGGGAAAATAATTTAGAATCTACTCAGCCTTCCTAAGGTAAAAGAAAAAAAAAGTATACAAGGCGAGAACAGTAAAAAATACAAACAAAAAGCAAACAAACAAAAAACCTCTCAATAAATAAATTAAAATAGAATACAGAAAAATAGTCAAATAATCCAACAGAAAGCAGACAGGGGGAAACAGAGGAACTAATAACATAGGGAACAAATGGAAATCAAATTATAAAATGGAAGTTCTAGGGGCGCCTGGGTGGCACAGTTCGTTGAGCGGCCAACTCTTGGTTTCAGCTCAGGTCGTGATCTTGGGGTCATTGGATCATGCCCCTCATCCGGCTCCACACTCAGCAAGTAATCTGCTTAAGACTTTTTCTCCCTCTCCCCCTACTCCTCCCCATCATGGTCTCTCTCTAAAATAAATAAATAAATCTTTTTTTTTTTTTAAGAAAGGAAGTTCTAATCCAAGCATATCAATAATTACACTAAAAGCAAGCGACCTAAATTTCCAATTAAAAATCAGAGATTACTGGAATGAATAAAAAACTAGTAAGACTCAACAGTATGTTGTCTATTTAAAAAAACCCATTTTGTAATAGATAGTTAATAGTAAAAGGATGGAAAAGATGTACCTTGTAAACAGTAATCAAAAGAAAGCTATAGTGGCTATTTTAATAACAGGCAAGGTGGATTTCAGAGTAAGGAAAATTAACAGGGATAAAGAGGGACATTTTATACTGATAAAATGGTCAATTCACCAAGAAGACTTAACATTCCTAAATATGTAAGAACCCAACAATAAAGCTTCAAAATACATAAAGCAAAAACTAACAGAACTGAACCAAAAAATAGAGAAAATCTACAAGTATGGGGGAGGTTTCAACATTCTCTCAGCCTTTGATAGAAAAAGCATACAGATCAATAAGGATATAGAACTGAACAACACCATCAACAAACTGGATCTAAATAACATTTTTAGGACCCACCCATCAACAGCCAAATATGCATTCTTTTCAAGTGCACATAGAACATTCACCAGTATAGACCATATCTTGGGTCATAAAACAGATGTTAACAAATTTTAAAAGTTGAAGTCATACAAAGTATGTTCTCCAACCATAATGAAATGAAATTAAAGTCAATAACAAAAAGGTAACTGGTAATTTCCAAACACTGGAAATAAAACAACACACTTATAAATAATCTACAAGTCAAAGAAAAAGTCTCAAGAACACCCGAGCGGAACAAAAATAAAATTTCAAGTCAAAATTTGTGACATGTAGCTAAAGTAGGGCTTCGAGGGAAATTCATAGCTTTAAAATGTTTACATTAAAAGAAAGGTCTCAAAACATCAATCCAAGTTCCATCTTGAGAAACTACAAGACTGGAGGTGGGGATGGGGGAGGGCAAAATAAACCCAAAGCAAGCAGAAGAAAGGAATTAAGAGCAGAATGCAATGAAATTGAAAATTTAAAAAGCAATAGAAAAAAATAAAACAAAAGTTCATTATTTTAAAAGATCAATAGAATCGATAAACCACTAGCCAAGTTGACAAAGAACAAAAAGAAGACACAAATTATCAATATTAGTAATGAAAGACGTATGTCACTACAGACTCTGACATTGGAAGGATAATGAGAGAATATTCTTACCAATTCTACACACATTACATTCAACAGGGGAGATGAAATGACTGACTCCTTGAAAGACCCAACTACCAAAACTCACTCAAGAAGAAACAGATCAGAGGAAGAGGAAGAGGAAGAAGAAGAAAAGGAGGAGGAGGAGGAGGAAGAGGAGGAGGGAGAGGAGGGGGAGGAGAAAGGAGAAGAAGAAGGAACAGATTATCCAAAGAGTATCTATTTTAAAAAATTGAATTTGTAAATTCAATTCAATGATTACAAAAAAAAGAAATCTCCCAGCCCAGATAGCCTCACTGGCAAATTTAACCAAGCATTTAAAGAAGAAATAACACCTATCTCTTCCAGAATATAGAAAAAGGAACACTTCCCAACCTATTTCATGAGGCCAGCATTACCTTGATACCAAAGCCAGATATAGATAGTAAAGGAAAAGAAAACCAGAGACCAATATCCCTCAAGAACACAGATTTTAAAAAAAATCCTCAGCAAAATATTTGCAAATAGAACCAGCAATAAATAGAGTGAATAATATACCATGACTAAGTGAGGTTTATCCCAGGAATGCAAGGCTGGTTCAGTATTTGAAAATCAATCAATATAATCCACCATATTAATAGACTAAAGAAGAAAAATCACATGACCATATTAACTGAAGCAGAAAAAATCATTTGACAAACTTCAACATCAATCCATAGTAAAAAGCTCTCGGCAAGTTAGGAATAGAAGGGAACATTCTTAATCTGATAAGGGATATCTACAAAAAACTCACAATTAACATCAGACCTAATAATGAAGAACAAAATGCTTTTTTCCAAAATCAGGAGCAAGGCAAGGGTGTCTACTCCCAACACTCTTATTTAACATCATGCAGGAAGTCCTAGCCCATGCAATGAAGCAAGAAAAAGAGATAAGAGGTCTACAGATTGGAAAGGAGGAAATAAAATGGTCCCCATTTGCAGACAACTGGATTGTCTTTGTAGAAAATATGGAATCTACCCAAAAAGCTCCTAGAAATTACAAATGAGTTGAGTAAAGTTGCAGAATATAAGGTCAATACGCAAAAATTAATTATATTTACATATACTAGCAATGAATACTTGGAGACCAAAATTTTAGAAAACAGTATCATTTACAATAGTTCCCTAAAATAAAATACTCAGGTATTAATATAACAAAACACGTGCAGCATTTGTACGCTGAAAGCTACAAATGCCGATGAAAGAAAACAAAGAAGACCTAAATAAATGGAGTGACATACCATGCTCATGAACTGGAGGACTCAACGTAGTTTAACGTCAATTCTCTCCTATCATAACCCTAGTAAGATTTTTCGGTAGATACAAGCAAGCTGATTCTAAAATTTATATAGAAAGACAATGAAACTAGAATAGCCAAAACAATTTTGAAAAAAGAAAAAGTTGGTTGAATCACACCACCCAATTTTAAAACTTAATAAAGCTGCAATAATAAAGGAAAGGTGGTATTAACAAGGGATAAACAACTAGGGAAATGGAACAGAATGGAGAGCTCAGAAATAGACGCACATAAATATGGTCAATTGGTTTTGATAAAAGTACAAAGACAATTCAGTGGAGAAAAGGTAGCTTTTTCAACAAGTAGTGTTGGAACAAGTGGAGATATATATATATACATATATATAATATATACCTCAACCTCAACCTCACAATTTATACAAAAATTAACTCCAAGTGAATCATAAATCTATATGTTAAGTGTGAAACTATAAGACTTTTAGAAGGAAACATAGGAGAAAATCTTCACAACCTAAAGTTAGAGTTCTTAGATATGACACCAAGAGCACAATCCATAATGAAAACAATAGATAAAATGAACTTCATCAAAGTTAAAAATTTTTGTGCTCTGTGAAAGATGTTATTAAGAGAACAAAAAGGCAAGCTACAGACTGGGACGAAAATATTTACAAATCACTTGCATCTCCAATATATAAAGAACTCTCAAAACTCAACAGTAAACAACAACAACAAGAACAAAACAAGTTTTAAAATGAGCAAAAGACTTTAACAGTTCGCCAAAGAGGATATATGAATGGCAAATACGCACATGAAAAGATGCTCAACATCATCGGTCATTAGAGAAAAGCGAATTAAAATCACAATGAGATATCACTGCACACTGAAAGAACAACTAGAATTAAAAACATTTGATGCAGATGAGGATCTAGAGCAACTGGAATTCTCCTACGTTGCTGGTGGGAATACAAATTACACAGCCACTCTGGAAAACAGGTTAGCAGTTTCTCATAAAGTTAAATATACAGGTATAGGACCCAGCAGTCCCACTCCTGAGTATTAATTCTAGAGAAATGAAAACTCATAGGCACACACGCACAGACTGTAGATGAATGTTTATAGCAGCTATATTCCTAATCATGGAAAATTGGGAACAACCCAAATACCCATCAATAAGCGAAGGGATAAACAGCCTGTGGTGCATCCATTCAATGAAATACTACCCAGTACCGAAAAGGGACTGAGATAAATCCCAAAGGCATTATGCCAAGTGACAGAGTAAGGTCCATCTGCATAACATTCTGGAAAAGGCAAAACTGTAACAACGGAGAAGAGATCAATGGTTGCCAGCGTTTAGGGGTGGAGGGTAGGATGATTGCACAGGGGAATTCTGGGGGCTGATGGAATTGTTCAGTATACCCATTGTGGTGGTGATCACAGGAATCTATACATGTGTTAAAACTCATAGAACCGTACACAATCCCCTCCCCAAAAAAGTCCAGTTTACGGTACTTTAATTTAAAAAAAAATCTTTTTTTCTTAATTTGACCATGTTATTCTGCTGCTGAAAATCTTTAAAGGCTTCCCAGTGGGCTCCAGCAAGAGCCAGACTCCTCACCAGGCAAGGCCTCGGCTCCTACCGGCCAGCCTCATTTCCCACCAGCAGCCCTGCCTTCTACACACGAGCCTTTCTTTTCTCAGTTCTTTTAAAGTGCAGGCTCTCTCCCGCCTCAGGGCCTTTGCCTAGCTGGGTGTCCATCCCTGAGGCTTCCTTCTGCCTGTCTGCCGCCAAGGGTGAGTTGCGGGAAGGGAGTGCTTGAGGAGGTGCCCTCGAACCTCCCTCCGCGCGTGTCCCCCTCCTACCCTGCCACCCCTCCCCTGCTCCAACTGCCCCTGAACTTGCCATGGTCCCCAAGGACCAGGAAGTTAAAGGCGCAGATTGTTAAGTAAACCTCAGAACACACCCCTCGCCGGCGGTCTTCGTATTTGGGCACCTCAGAAACACGGGGGAGCGGGGAGGGTGGTTGCCGAGTGCAGATGCGGGTAGTACGGGAGGTGGGGCCCCAGCGGCCAGCGCGGTCCCTGCACCCCCAGCTCCGCAGCGCAGCTAGCTGCGCGGGAAGCTGGGAAGCGCGAGGCAGAGCCCCTCTTTACAGGCAATCGGGAACCTTTTCGTAGTACTTTAAAAGGAAAACGGAAAACAAGGCTGATCTCTCCGCCTGATTCCTGGAGCTCAGGAGAGCACGGGAAACCGCAGGCTGGAGCGCACCAGGCACTGTGCCGCCTCCGCGCCTGGGACCCTGGAACCTGGGCCGCGGGCGCCCGACAGGACAGAAGGTTGGGGTAAGGAGGCTGAGGACCCGCAGGGACACGTTCCCCCAAGGCGGCACCTCCTCATTGTGCCTGCCCATCACCCCCTCCGCAGCCTTAAAGGGCCATTCACCACCCCTGCAGGATCTCCCACTGTGGCAGAAACACACACACACACACACCCTTCTCATCCACCGGGAGGCGGCGCCTTCCTCCCAGCCCCACTCAAGACTTCAGACCCCAGGGTGTAGAGCCAGGGTGCAAGGATGCCCTGGGTGGGTAATGAACGGGAGGGAAAGACCTTAGTGGAAGATTCTCCCCCGACCATAGCTTGCTTCCCCAAGGCCCCAGAAGGTTCCTGGAAGGGGCAGAGGGACCAGTCATCCAAAGAGAGTCAAGGCACTGAGGGATAGGAAATGTGCTCGGTGGGAGGCTTGAATTGGCCAGAGGTCTGAGGAAGACAGACCATCCTGGACTCAACCCTGGGTCTGTGCTTCCAGTTGGTTCTACCCTCAAAACATAGCCAGTCTGGGGCGCCTGGGTGGCTCAGGCATTAAGTGTCTGCCTTCGGCTCGGGTTGTGATCCCAGGGTCCTGGGATCAAGATCCGAGTCCAGCTCCCTGCTCCACGGGGAGCTGCTTCTCCGTCTCCCACTCCCTCTGCTTGTGGTCCCTCTTTCACTGTGTCTCTCTCTCTCTGTCAAATAAATAAATAAAATCTTAAAAAAAAAAAACAAACATAGCCAGCCCTTTTCTTACCTCTGTTGTCCCTACCCTGGTTCAGGACCCCATCACCTCCTACCTGGGCAGCGCAAGTAGCCTCCTCACTGGTCCCTGGCATCTTCGCTTGCCCTCTGTACTCAGTTTCCCCTCAGAAACCACAGAAACCCTGGTAAAACCTTGTCGCATCCTGTCACTCTCCTGCTCAGAGCCCTCTCCTGCCCCCCATTTCTTCCCAGTGAAAACGGTGCACGCAAGGCCTGTGTCCTCCCGCATCCCTGACCTCCTCCCGCCCCCCCCCCCCCCCCACAAGCACCACACTTCCACGTACTCCGCCTCTGCTGCTCAAACAGACCAATCTTGGGGCGCCTGGTTGGCTCGGTCGTTAAGTGTCTGCCTTCCACTCAGGTCATGATCCCAGGGGCCTGGGATCGAGCCCCGCGTCGGGCTCCCTGCTCGGCGGGAAGCCTGCTTCTCCCTCTCCCGCTCCCCCTGCTTGTGTTCCCTCTCTCGCTGTGTCTCTCCCTCTCTGTCAAATAAATAAATAAATAAATAAATCTTAAAAAGAAAACCAGACCAATCTTGCTCCCACCTCAGGGACTTGGCACTGGCTCTACGCTCTGCCCAGATGCTCTTACCCAGATACCCACGTGCTCCCTTGCTTGCTTCAGGGCTCTGCTCAGATGTCATTTTCTCAGAGAGGCCCTCCATAACAGCCCCATGTGAGAAGTAGCAGCCCCTCTCCTGCTACCACACACTCAGTGTCCCCCTCTCTGTCCACCATGCTGACCAGCACCTAAGCCTTGGCTTAACATCAGCTCCCTGAGGACAGGATCTTTGCTGACGTCACTGTGTGTCCCCACATATAGTAGATGCGCGATCCATATCTGTTAGAAGAATATGGGAACCCAGGTCAGGATTCCACCCCCACCCCCCACACCTTGGCTCCCTCTTCCCTTCCTCCCCCTCAAGCTCCACCCACCAGCCACCAAGGAGGGCCATTGGGTGTGGAATAGTACGGGGAGGGAGCAAGAGCCTGAGCCACTGCCCCCCCCCCGCCGACATGAGCCTGGGATTCAAGCTGGGCATCGGGCCCTTGTCCGCCAGAATCATGCTCCTCATCTCCTCAGCAATGTGCCTCACCCTGTCCTGGGCCCCCTCCACCTCTCCCCAGCTGCTCCTCTCCCCTGGGGGCTGCCCGGCACACTGTGGGGAGACGAGCAGAATTGTCAGGACACCTGCTGCCATGCCAGGGGTTCAGCATGGTCTCCCAATACTCCACCAGGCCTTACCATACTCCCTGTGCCCATTTTAGAGGTGAGGAAACTGAGGCCCAAGAGGCTAAGCGACTTGCCCCAGAACATGCAGAGAGTGAGAGTCCTACCCATGATGCCGGGTATGGGGGCCTCTTTTCCTGAAGCCACACATCCAAGTTCCAATCAGCCTACAGCACTTCCGTGACCTGTAAGTCAGGAGCTGCCTGGTAACTATTATTCCCCACTCAGCCCTCCTCCCCCCTACCCCCAGGCAGGAGGCCCTGCCATCAGCACAGGAACCATGCTTACCTGCGAGGGAGAGGGAAGGAACTGTTGCCTGTTGGGTTCCTGCCACGGGCTGGTTATCACGCCGAGCGTTTTACACGTATCACCTCTGAGAGCCTCACCTTGACCCCATTACACAGATGAGTGGACTGAGGCCAGAGAGGTTAAGTAACATGTCCCACAGTGTGGCAGAAACGGGCTTCCAGACTGGCCCCAGTATCCCGAGATGGTCTGCTAAGTCCCTGAGGCTTTCCTGTCCTTCCTCCCAAAAATTCCAGTGCCCCCTTCCCCGGGGAAGCTGTCCCTGCCAGCCCCCCACGGGCAGGAGAGAGTGAGCAGAGGCCGGCCAGGCCCTGCCGAGAGAGGGCAACAGGGGCAGGCACCGTGTTTATTAATTTTCTGCCTCGGTGGGTCGGCAGTCCCAGCCGGAGCCTGCGGACTTACCATCCAGTCTATTAAATAATGCTATCTGGGAAGAACCTGGCATTCGAAGGACCGTGCTGATGGGCCTCTACAATTTAATTGCTCCAGTAAACGAGATCAGAAACGGGGAGGTGAGCAGGGTGAGCCCAGATGAAAGGACGGCTGGGTTTCAGGAGGTGAGGGGGACACAGCAAACACATTTCTGTCCGCCCCTGTGGGCCTGGCATCGCACACCTCCCGGACCGACCACGGGAGTTGGAGGGGGAGCGCCCAGACCTGAGTCCTGCTAAATCTCCCGTCACCTGGCAGAGCGTTGGCTCCCTGGTGGCCTGCCATCCTGCCCCTTCTTCCCCACCCCACAGGCTCCTCCAGGCCAGTCATACCAGTCTAGACACCTTTCCGGAAAGTTCCCTGCCCTTCCTAGCCTTTGCTTGTGCAGGCCCGTCCCTTAAGGTGAGGTTCTCCCTGCACCAAGCAAACTCCCCCCACCTGTCAAAAGCCCTCCTAGGGTCACCTGGGGGGCTCAGTCGGTTAAGTGTCTGACTCTTGGTTTTGGCTCAGGTCATGATCTCAGGGTGGTGAGAACGGGCCCCATGTTGGGCTCTGTGCTCAGCATAGAGTTGGCTTGAGATTCTTTCCCTCTACCTCCCCCAGCTTGCACCCACGCACTCTCTCTCTCTCAAATAAGTAAACAAATAAAATCTTAAAAAAAAAAAAAAAGCTCTCCCACACCCCCCAGACAGAGCCAGTGGCCCCATCCTCTGTGGAGTGGGACCCCTGCAAGGAAAGATGGAGTTCCCCTCAGGTTCTGAGCAAAGCAAAGCTGCTTGTCTGCTGCAGCCACTGGCTAACACTGTGACTGGATGATAGTTTGCTATTTTAAAAGCTCTTTTTCCGATTTTCTCCCTCCCTGGCATTTCTCCTTCCATCTTTCTCTCAGCTAAGTAAGTAGCCAGCTCTGGGCCTCACTCCCCTGGAAAGTAGGGTCTAAATGAGGGCCAGAAACAGGGCCCCTCCTGTGTGCCCCCTTGCCCTGGTGTCTTCCTGTCACATCATTGAGATCCAGAACCTTCTGCCTTCCAGCTGTCTTTCCCCCAGAGCAAGTTTTAGGTCTTCCCACACACCAGAACTCCTGCTGCCCCCTGCCCCCCCATACCAAGCCTTTACTGTCTACATAGCCACTCTTCCCCCTCTACTTTCCCATCACAAACCCCTCTCTCCATTTCCCCATTCAAGGCTCCAAGCTTCTGTGCTTAAAAATGAAGTCCCCCATTTCTCGGGAAATCATCTCTGAAAAGCATGCCCAGCTCCAAAGCTCTGAGCTCCTGGATGACACACACATTTGTTGAGTACCTACTGTGTGCCAGGCACAGTGCTAGGAGTAAGGGACACAGCAGTGAACAAGGCAGATGAGGTCCCTGCCCCGTGGAGCTGACATCCTAGTGTGGAGAAGCAAAATACTCCATGAAACAAGTAAGTAAATAAGACATGACATGTGTTACAAAGAAAAGAGAACCCAATGACAGAACGGGTGGTGGTGGGGCAGGGGAGGCTACACTGGATGAGGAGGTCAGGGGAGGCGGTCTGGGAAGGTGACACCTGAGGTGGGACCTGAGACTGAGAAGCAACCCGCTGTGCAAAAGTTTGCAGGAAGGAACTTCCAGGTAAAGGGCCTATAGTAAGTGCAAAGGTCCTGAGGTAGGAGTGTGCTTGGTTGGGGTTGGACAAGCAGACCAAAGGCCGGGGTTGCTGAAAGGTAGGGAGAGAAGGAGTGAGTGATAAGAGATGAGGTTGGCATTTTGATCCCCAAACCTTCACTCAATCAAGGCCATGTCTGGGGGCCATTTGGAGAGGGGACCTTGAGTCTTGCTGGTCAGGCTAAATGGGCTCTTTCTACATCAAGGTCAGAGTCTGTAGGGCAGACACACATGATAGAAATGAAGCCAATAGGCATCTATGTGACCCCCTAAATAGCCTTAAAGCCCAGAAGGGAATTCTGGAAGAGAAGACAGCTCAGGGCCCAGGGTAGCCACAGCCTCTGGGCCTCTTTGTCAGATTACAGAACAGAGCAGGATCAATAATGGAGACCAGGTCGCATGTGCCGATCCCTCTGTTCCCAATGGAAGACACCACGATCTTCGTGTATTTTTCTCCTACCTGTGACCTCTTCACCCTCGGTATTTCTGCTCACCCATGGCTCCCTGCATCAGACCTGCACACAGCCTCTGAAGGTGACTGAGCTCCCCCCTCACCACCACGGCCTCTCCTCCAGTCCTCCCTCCCAGGGAAGAACCAGCAAGAATGTTCCAGCTGCCCCTTGTTTATCCCCGCACCCACAGTGCACAGATCAAGCTCCTCTCTCGCCGCTGGTCCTGCTCACTGAGCCTGTGGTCTGTGTATCCAGAGAGGCAGAGGCTGTGAATGTGAATCCCGACCCCCTCACCCCACCTTGCTTGGACAGGGTGCGGGGGTGGCAGCCTAGGTCACTTTGCTGTAGTGACATTCCAGCGTTTTCAACAGAAGAGCTCCTTTCTTGAACGAAACCGAGGTAGAATTACAATGGGCAAAACAGAGAAAAGTATTTTGCTGGTATAAGTGTACTTGATAGGCTCACACGTATGCCATATTCTTATTGTAATAAGAGAGAATAATTATAACAAGACTAGATAAGATGAGAACAAGGTTGTTTTGTTGACTATAAAATAAAACAAAGGGCTTATCAATGACGGTTTCTGTCCTCGCTTCCAACTTGTTTCACATTTTGTTTGTGTTGTACACAATTTATTCGTGCAGATAAGTAATTGCAAGTTAAAAGAGGCTTGTTTCCTCTATTATCCCTCCTTGCAATACTCTTCAATTAAACACAGATGCAGGACAATCTTTAGCCCCAGGTCCACTCACAGCAAACCTTTTGGTGATTTCGAATGGGTTATAAGTTGTGTAACCTAATTGCCAGCCTCTATTTTTAAATACTGTTTTACCATAAAAAACGATACCGGAAATGAACTTGAGTCAAACATTTGTGGGCTCTGCAGTGCCTCCAGAGGACCCAAAGGGGTCCATGCAGACATGATTTGGAAGTGTAGCTTCGCAGCCACATCTCACAATCCCTCCACCTGGGGCCCTGGGCCCTGCCCCCAAACCCAGTTCATTCCTTGTTTCCCAAAGACTAACACAAGCTCAGAGTTGGGAAAGACCCCAAGGCTATGTAGTACAAAGCCCATCTTCTGCAGGAATTCCTCCATAGCCCCCAACAGCTACTCCTCCAGCCTCTGCTTGAATGCCCAAAGTGATGGAGAGCTCACCACCTTATGAGGCTGCCTGGCCTGGTCCATTATAGGGCAGCTCTACTTGTTAAACATGGCTTCCTCTCTGAGCCTCTTTCCTTGTCTATGGGTTGGACATAATAGTATTCATCAAGCCGGGCTGCTATGAACACCAAATAAGATGACACAGAGCTGACACATACGAAATGTGCAACAATGCTTGTGTCCTTCTCTGCCCCCAGAGCACCCCGTTTTAGAGGAACAGACAGCCTATGTCTGCGGGGGTAAGTACATGGTGTGGAATGTGTTTTGCCCAGTGGGCAGGGGTGGGGTGCGGTGGGGCGTGTGCACCCACCCTGGGAGATCCCTAGGGAGGTTTGCTTGGAGAGGTTGAGAAGAGCACTGTGCACCACACACACCGTCCCCCTATAGCTTCGCCAACTCCACCCCTGCCCCAGCCCCTCCCCTCCCTGTCCTTGGAGCCTCATCTGTCTTCCCTCCTGTCACCAGAGCTGGAGGCTTGTCCCGGAGGCAAGGGGATTAAATCCCAGGGCCAGGCCTGCCCCCAACCCCAAGGAGCTGGCACTTCATTACCCGCCTGCCCAGCTGTCTGCGGCCATCGATCGGCCCTGGCCTGAGTGACCTCTGATTGATGGGCAGCATGTTATTTACTGGAATCCGCCTGAGCCAGCTGGGAAGAGGGGAGAGGGGCCTGGGCAGAGCCTCTGCGTTCCTGAGGCAGAAAGAATCAGCCACCAGCAAGCCCTGCAGTGGGAGGGAATGGAGAGCAGGCGGCTGGGAATACTCCCCTGGGAGTCGGGTCCCGAGCCCAGGACAGCAGGGCAATCTTGGCTGAGGTTTCTGGCCTTCCCTGTCCCTGGGCCTCAGCGTCCTCTATAAAAGGATCAGGTGCGGCCGGCAAGGCTCACAAACCTAGCAGCCCTCGGGGCAGCAGGCAATGAGGATAAAGGAAAGGGGCGAGTTGGGGCTGGCACCCTGCCCAAAGGGGGCAACTTGCTCCCTTGGTCTTGCCCCAGGTCTTGTCTCTCCCCTTGTTTCTGACTCAACTGTAGCTGGGGAAGCTTCTTTGCCCTCTGCAGGAAAGCGCTGACCCACCTCCTTCCTGACATGGGCCTTCTTTCCACGCCAGTCCCTGTGCCGGGCAGCCGGAAACTGCAAGAAAGTTTGGCTTCTTGGAGGAGATTATATTTGAGAAGGGCTTTGACAGAGCAGAGGACCTGCGGACATGGGACAGGACTGCTGGGGGTCATCCCCCTGCCCCCGTGTCTCGACCCCAGCCCCTTGGGAAGGTCAGCCGGGTGACATGATCTCATGCCTGCCCCGGGTGGGCCAGAGCAAGCACCTGACTGGGGGCAGCCAAGCACATTATGACGGAGGCTGCCTTGACCTATGTGGCTTGTGCTGGAATCCGCTCAGGATCTCGACCACAACGCAGTAGACCAGGCAGTTATCAGAGCAGGAAGGGAGAAGCACGAGGAGAGGCCACAACGGGCCCTGTGGAAACGAACCCACACGACAGCCCAGCACGTTCTATGAAGAATGGGGGAGTGGGCAGCTGCCTGGTGGCTCAAGGAAAGGGGACCATGCAGAGGCAGGAGTGCCCAGGAAGGACTGGAGACACTCATCAAGTGGGCCTCGGGCTCCAGGCCACATACATCTTTCACTAAACCTTTGATGAAGGTAACTTGAGTGTCTCTGCTCTTTGAAGCCAAAATATCGGAACTAGAACTTGAGCCGGAAGGGCATTCCCAGCCCTGAGCACGGTGTAGGCAAAGATGCAAAGGCAAGAAAGTTATACGAGGTGTTCCCAGAGTGAGGATGGTGGGTGGTCTGGCCGAGCTAGAACACAGCACGGTATACACACGTGTGCACAAATGTGTACCTGTCCCCGCCAGGTTTAGAGGTATATATATATCGAATGGGTTAAGAGGCCAGAAGAGCGGGCTGGGGCCAGATGATGGGGGATGCGCCCAGAGCCGCAGGAAGTACCTTGAGCAGGGAGATGTGTGTCCTTGACAGAGCTGGCCCAGTGGAACGGGAAGGGAGGCTAGAGACAGAGATGGCACACAGAGCTAGGATGGGGCAGTGGGAGTCAGGAGGAGATCTGGCCAAGCTGGGAGGACATTACCAGGGGAGAAGCCTGCCCTTGGATGTCCTATTTCCAACTCGGCCAATCAAGAGAACCGCAGGGCTCCCAACCTGGGAAGAGAGCTCGTCTTGGTTAGATGGAGTTGGGACCTGTGGTTGTAAGGTGAAACCGGACCAGGCAACTGAAATCACTGATCAAGAGCCCAGGAGAGAAGTCACTGGTTGAAAACAATTTCAGAGGCATCGGCAGGCAGGAGACCCTCGGGAGAAGAGTTCTCCAAGAGTAGATATTTGTGCCCATTAGGCCTGGTTGCCCGCTCACCCTCTGAACCCAATTCCAATTCTGACACCAATTCCAACATTTGGAACGGGTTTTTCCCCACCCCAAGCGCTCTGTGACAGCAGCTGGGGGTCGAGTTAACTCAACTGGGACACTGTCAACCTGGAGATTCAACCTCCCGCCTCCCAGCTCCCCTCCCTTGGAGGTCTGAGGGTGGGACTGAAAGTTCCAACCCTCTAATCCCCCTGGGTTGGTTCTCCAGGCAATCAGCCCCCAGGTTTAGGTGTGGTCCCAAAATTACCTCATTAACATAACAGAAGACACTCTGTTGCCTTTGTGGATTAGGAAATTCCAAGAGTTTTAGGAGCTCTGCGCAGAACACCGGTAAAACCACCCTTCCCAACCTCCCTTGCAGCTGGTGGTGGCCACGTGACCTCCGTGGGCCGCTGAGCCGGCCCTCCAGGCTTCTTGTTCTGTGAGAAAAATTAAAAGGTGGCTGTCAGTGAAGTCTTCCTTGCTTGCTGCAGCAGCTGTGCGTGTTCTTGACGGATCCGGGGGTCAAGGGCGGTCCCTGAGACATGAGACAGCAGGGGGATGGAGAGTTAGCAAAAGCAGTGGAGATGTGGGGGGCCAGCAAAGTGGGTGGGTGCTGACCCCGGCTTGGAGGTGTGGGGACGGGGGTGGACAGGGTGTCCACGGGCCTCTCTGCCAGGGGTCAGAGGTGAGGGGGCTGTGCGGGGGGCGGCTGGATCTGACCACAGAGTGTCCATGGTGCACCCAGCACCCTAGGAGGGAGGAGTCCATAAAAGCCTGAACATTTTGATCTGGGGAAAACAGCTCAAATCCTTGGTTTGTAATGACTGGAACTTTCCAACAGCCAGGCCAGGAAAGTCCTATAGCAACTGACGGCCTGGAAGACCACACCCCACACATCCCCTCCCCTCCCAGGATCGTGTACTTAACACGTACCTGCTCTCTTGCACACACTCCCCTGAACTTCTCCCGTAAAATGCTAGACATCCCTCTCGCGGGCTGAGAGGTCAGTTGTTAAGGCTTGAGCCTGCTACCTATCCCCACGGTCGACTCCCGAAATAAATCTCTCTCTTTCCCTCTTCCAAAGCCCCGTATCTTGAGTTACTGGCTTCATTTACGACAAATGAGTTTATCTGAGTTTGTCCGGCAAAGGTGTTGGCAAATGCAGCCAGGAGTTTGCTTTCGATTTCTCCAGACCCCACGGGATTCCCCAGGCCAGAGCCGTTGCCCCAGCAGGGCACCTGGGCTCATCTGTTTCTTTCCTGAGTTAGCGGCTATGATAGATGGATCCGTAACACTCATACCAGCCTCTGTTCTAGTAACCAGGACAATCTGCCAGCCACATTTAGTTGGATTTTGAGGTTACCCCCTCCTTTCTGGAGGGAGGGGGGTGGGGGGATGGGTTAGCCTGGTGATGGGTATTAAGGAGGGCATGTTCTGCATGGAGCACTGGGTGTTATACGCAAATAATGAATCATGGAACACTACATCAAAAACTAATGATGTATGGTGATTAACATAACATAATAAAAAAAAAGGTTACCTCCTCCTGGGAGCCCTCCTGACTTACAGCAGTCAGTCCATCTGTCTCCCACATTAGCCTTCACCTGGCTGGGTATCACTGTTTGCTTGTTCCCCACCCCACATGTACTAGACCACTAGTTCTCAAATCTTTGGGTGTCAGGACCCCTTTACACTCTTAAAAATTATTTAGGACCCCAAAGAGCTTTTGTTTATGGAGGTTTATTCAATATTTTGAAATTAAAATGGAGAAAATTGTAAGTATTCATTTATTAACTCATGTGAAGATAAAAATAATAAACTCAGTACATGTTAATATAAGTAATATATTTTTGTGAAAGATGACTGGGGAAACAAAAGAGAACAGAATTTTTCACATTTTCGCAAACCTTTTTAATAGAAGACAGCTAGATCCTTGTGTGTGCTTCTACATTCCATCTCCTGCAATATGCTGTTTTGATTGAATTAGATAAAGAAAATCTGGGGGGCACCTGGGTGGCTCAGCTGGTTAAGCGTCTGCCTTCAGCTCAGGTCATGAAC